AAAAAAATTTTGGTTAATTTTTGGTTCAAAATTTTTTCACTTTTTTATGTCAAAATTTTTAATTTTGATCTTTTCTCCATTTGCAATATGTTGTTCTTTTTCAATTTTAAATTTTTGATCAGAATAATTCATTATTGTATATATTTTCTATTTGCTATTCCAGATTGCACAATTACTGCTTTTTTGACTTCTCTTGCTCTAGTTCCTATATAAAGATTATTTTTTATTAGTTTTTAGATCTTTATATATTCTATAGTCATAGGTGGTATATCTGTTTCTTCATTAGCTAATATTTGGTATTTTGAATTTTTTCCTTCTTGTATGGTTGGTAATATAATGTGTCTGATGTGAGTAGGATATTGTTCCTTGATTTCTTTATAAAAATTTAGATTTATATCTGTTGTTTCTAATATATTTTCAGGTACTCTATACCCTTCTGGTTCTGATTCTTTGTCAATTTCAGTTTTATGTTCAGCTAGATCTTCTAGATATTCTTCATGTTTGGCATTTTTTGTCCATGCATGTGCTGGTTCTGTATGTTTAAAACATCTTTCCAGTCATTATTTGTTAATGTTGATAGTCCTTTTGGTACTGAATATAGGACTTTTTGTCTTTTCTATTCAGATTCTATGGTTCTAGTCTATTTAGTTTCTTTGGTTCATATCGTAGAGATGATTCTCCTGCTTCATATTCGTCATTTGGATTATATAATTCTTCTTGTTAATTATATTGATTATTATAATTATTTTGACTATAATCATTATAATCATTTGTATCCTCTTGTATATATTCATCTAGTTCAGCCATTTGTTGTGCATCTTCTAGTATTAATTGTTCTTGTTTTGTTTGCCTGAATAGTTCTTGTCTTTGTTGATTTTCTCTTCAAAATTGTTCTAATCTCAGATTTCTTATTGAGGACGATTGATTTGAAAGTTGTGATCTTTGTCTCTTATGACCATATTTTGGTAATATTGGTTGGTCTTCATTGCTTGTTGATGCGTAAAGACTACTTGATTCTGATATTATATCAGTTAGTCATACTTCTTTTATTAGTGGTGATGATTTATGTTGATGTTGTTTAGAGTGGGATGATTGTGTCGATTGCATTGAATTTCTTCTACTTAGCATCTGTTGTGCTGCACTTAATGTGTTCTGTACTATTCCTTTTGCTTTATTAAGGAAGGTTGGTGATGTTGGTGAACTTGGTTTTGTTGTTGTTCTTAATATTGTTTGTTCTGGTATTTTGGTATACTGATCTTTATCTTGTTTATTTAACCTTTCTAATGTTCTCCAAAGTTGTCATCTAGTAACTATCTGTCTGCCATTTGTTCTGTTTCTCATGGTTCATTTATTGTTAGTTTATATTCTTCGTGATATGGATGTTTTGGTGGTAATGTTTCTGGTAATTCTAAGCCTTGTCTTTTGGCTCATTGTTGTTTTTGGAATATTCATTCTTCTTCGTCTTCTATGTTATGTATTTTATCTAGGTTTTCTAGAGATACTCCTAATAGTTCTCTATATTTTGCTTGATATTGTTCTTGTAATGGTTCACTTTCATATTGTTCTATTTGTCTAGTGAATCTTTCTATTAAGATTCATTGTTCATACTTTTGCATTGCTTCAAAATCTTTTCTGTCTAAGTTTAATGCTTGTAGTCTGCCCTGTATGTTGGGTCTAACCGTTGTTATCCCAAGCCTTCAGGTAAATAGGCTTAACCACCTGTCTACTTACATCATTCTCTTGTTAAAACAATGATTAAATAGTATGGAAACAAATTATAAATATGTTTCCCAATTATTAAGACAACAAACTAATGAGCATATTCAAAAAATTGAAAGAGTCACAAATAGAAAAAATTAGAAGCAGAAACAGCAGAAGATAAAAAGCCTACCTATACAAAACAATATCCGCATTAACAGAAACAAAAAATGCTATTCTCTGGAAGAATAGAGATCTAGTAAAAGATCTAGAAGAAGAATATGAGTATGCAACTAATCAAGCATTAAACTTAGACAGAAAAGATTTTGAAGCAATGCAAAAGTATGAACAATGAATCTTAATAGAAAGATTCACTAGACAAATAGAACAATATGAAAGTGAACCATTACAAGAACAATATCAAGCAAAATATAGAGAACTATTAGGAGTATCTCTAGAAAACCTAGATAAAATACATAACATAGAAGACGAAGAAGAATGAATATTCCAAAAACAACAATGAGCCAAAAGACAAGGCTTAGAATTACCAGAAACATTACCACCAAAACATCCATATCACGAAGAATATAAACTAACAATAAATGAACCATGAGAAACAGAACAAATGGCAGACAGATAGTTACTAGATGACAACTTTGGAGAACATTAGAAAGGTTAAATAAACAAGATAAAGATCAGTATACCAAAATACCAGAACAAACAATATTAAGAACAACAACAAAACCAAGTTCACCAACATCACCAACCTTCCTTAATAAAGCAAAAGGAATAGTACAGAACACATTAAGTGCAGCACAACAGATGCTAAGTAGAAGAAATTCAATGCAATCGACACAATCATCCCACTCTAAACAACATCAACATAAATCATCACCACTAATAAAAGAAGTATGACTAACTGATATAATATCAGAATCAAGTAGTCTTTACGCATCAACAAGCAATGAAGACCAACCAATATTACCAAAATATGGTCATAAGAGACAAAGATCACAACTTTCAAATCAATCGTCCTCAATAAGAAATCTGAGATTAGAACAATTTTGAAGAGAAAATCAACAAAGACAAGAACTATTCAGGCAAACAAAACAAGAACAATTAATACTAGAAGATGCACAACAAATGGCTGAACTAGATGAATATATACAAGAGGATACAAATGATTATAATGATTATAGTCAAAATAATTATAATAATCAATATAATTAACAAGAAGAATTATATAATCCAAATGACGAATATGAAGCAGGAGAATCATCTCTACGATATGAACCAAAGAAACTAAATAGACTAGAACCATAGAATCTGAATAGAAAAGACAAAAAGTCCTATATTCAGTACCAAAAGGACTATCAACATTAACAAATAATGACTGGAAAGATGTTTTAAACATACAGAACCAGCACATGCATGGACAAAAAATGCCAAACATGAAGAATATCTAGAAGATCTAGCTGAACATAAAACTGAAATTGACAAAGAATCAGAACCAGAAGGGTATAGAGTACCTGAAAATATATTAGAAACAACAGATATAAATCTAAATTTTTATAAAGAAATCAAGGAACAATATCCTACTCACATCAGACACATTATATTACCAACCATACAAGAAGGAAAAAATTCAAAATACCAAATATTAGCTAATGAAGAAACAGATATACCACCTATGACTATAGAATATATAAAGATCTAAAAACTAATAAAAAATAATCTTTATATAGGAACTAGAGCAAGAGAAGTCAAAAAAGCAGTAATTGTGCAATCTGGAATAGCAAATAGAAAATATATACAATAATGAATTATTCTGATCAAAAATTTAAAATTGAAAAAGAACAACATATTGCAAATGGAGAAAAGATCAAAATTAAAAATTTTGACATAAAAAAGTGAAAAAATTTTGAACCAAAAATTAACCAAAATTTTTTT